TAGGTTGTGAGATAATCACAAAAACATATTTTACTGACAACGATCAGATTCCATTAATAACAAAGCAGACAATTATCTCCTGATTCAGTGATCCAATTTCGATAAACTTTTTTTTGTTATTTGGATCTCAATAATCTCTACATAATAAAAAAATTTTGTCAAAATTGGGCCTCTAGATCGTGAGATAATTGCGAAAACATATTTTGCCAGACGATTTTTAGATTCATGATATAGCAAAATATATCTTTGTGATTATCTTCCGATCTAGCAGTCCAATATTGACAAACTTTTTTTTATTGTGAAGAAGAGGTTAAGACCTAAAAGACAAAAAAAAATTATTGAAATTGGATCACTGAATTAGGAATCAATTCTTTTTTTATGATTTACTAAAATTTAGTCATAATAATAATATGAAATACTTTTTCACGATTTTCTTATAATTTAGTATTTCAATTTCAATAAATTTTTTATTTTATTGAGGAAATCAAGATCTATAAAACAAAAAAAAGTTCATTGAAATTGGATCATTGGATCAAGAGATAATTATTTTCTTTTTTTGCCCCGATTTTACATAGTAAGACACTGCCGATCTTAACCGAATTAGCAATTAAAGAATTTTTTTAAAAAAAACAATATTTCAGAACATTTTTCAACGTTCCAATTAAAAATTAAAAAAAATAATTAATCAGAACGTTAGCAAACGTTCTGATTAAAGAAATAAAAAAACAATATTTCGGAACGTTTTTCAACATTCTGATTAAAAAATGAAATAAAAAAATTAATCGGAATGTTCCGATTAAAGAAATCAAAAAAAATAATATTTCAAAACGTTTTTCAACGTTCCGATTAAAAATGAAATAAAAAAATAATCGGAACGTTAGCCAACATTCCGATTAAAGAATTTTTTTAAAAAAAATAATATTTCAGAACGTTTTTCAACGTTCCGATTAAAAATAAAATAAAAAAAATAATCGGAACGTTAGCTAACGTTCCGATTAAAAAAAACAATATTTCGGAACGTTTTTCAACGTTCCAATTAAAAATTAAAAAAAATAATAAATCGGAACATTAGCAAACGTTCCGATTAAAGAAATAAAAAAAAACAATATTTCGGAACGTTTTTCAACGTTCCGATTAAAAAATGAAATAAAAAAATTAATCAGAATGTTAGCTAACGTTCCGATTAAAGAAATCAAAAAAAAAATAATATTTCGGAACGTTTTTCAACGTTTCGATTAAAAAATGAAATAAAAAAATTAATCGGAACGTTAGCCAACGTTCCGATTAAAGAATTTTTTTAAAAAAACAATATTTCGGAACATTTTTCAACGTTCTGTTCGATTAAAAATGAAATAAAAAAATTAATCAGAACGTTAGCCAACATTCCGATTAAAAAAATTAAAAAAAAGAATAATATTTTGAAACGTTACTAAAAAACGTTTTGTTAAAAAATGAAAAAGTAGTTTCACAATATTTCGTTGCGAAACTTACCAGAAGTTTGATACCTTCCAACTTTTTCCATATAAGGCTCATATCTCAGGAATTAATAACCTTATATTACGGAATTTACAGAGTTTTTACATAAATAATGGATAAAACTTTTTATAGGATAAAGGGGAAAACGAAAGGGAAGGAGAGAACGAAGGGGAGAACGAAAGTGTAATAGGAAAATGAAAGGAAAGGGGAGAATGAAAGGGTTATGGGAAAACGAATGGAAAGGGAATAACGAAAGTGTAATAGAAAAACGAAAGGGAAGGGGAGAATGAAAGGGTTATAGGAAAACGAATGGAAAGGGGATAATGAAAGGTAATGGGAAAAACGAAAGAGAAAAAGCAAAAAAAAAAATTAAGCTTTGCTAAAAAAAACTTAATTTTTTTTTTTGCTATACCACAGTAGCGCAGTGGTAATTATCAATCCAGTATCACGTGACACACATGATATATCATTACATAAAATACGTAATGCTTAATATTAATTTTAATAAATACTTATAATAGTACAATGGTTAGATCGTGAGATTTGATATATTAATAGTGTAATTGAGGTAACCGGTTCAGTTCCTAAGGTGAGTAAAAATAAATAAATTAATATAATTTATTTAGTTGTGTTAATATACAGTGCGTTGAACTACACATTAGAGTTGAACGACGCGTATATTAACATTATGCGTTGGTATACTCCAATATACGGGTGTTGATTAATATTGTAAAATGCGTTGAACAACTAGCTGGTATTGATCAACGCGTATACTGGTGTGAATCAACACTTTTCAAACTTGCTGATGACCTTTATTGTTTATTTTGTATTTCGTTACTAATAACATTAGATCTTTATAAGCATCATTAGGAAATTCTGTGCAAGTTTTGGAATTAGGATTTTCAGATTCTTCAAAAATTTCAGGCTCTTCGGAAGAATCTAATATATTTTCAAAGTTATCTTCAAGGCTTATCACTGATATTGCACTTCCAATACTGTCAAAAGACATGTTTGTGCATCATTATCATTATCCATCTAAAATTATAAGCTAAATGAGTTAGTATATCTGAGCTTTTTCTTAAAAGCTCCAAAAAGAATAATCTGGAATACATAATTACCTCAACTTTATCATTTTCATATTCACTACTTTGATTACTTCTTGTATCCATTTCACTGTTATATTTTTCACTATCGTCGTCATCATCATCTTCTACTTCTATATTTTTTAAGCATTTCTAGGCGTGTTGAGTATATGCAAAGCGTTGACTGAATATTCGCATACAAAGGGGGCATTTGAAACTCATGTTGCTAATTAACGCGTCAAATTTGATGAAAGCATCAATTCACTATTCAATTTATATGAGATTTCGTATGCTAACAAAATTTTGAGTAGATATGACTACGCATTAATGAATGGCTGTAAGAATCTGGATGGCTAATACGGCTTATTCAATCGGCTAATTATCCACAAATTTACGCATTAACAGGCTGTAAGAATCCGGATGGCTAATACAGCTTATTCAATCGGCTAATCATCCACAAATTTATGCATTACACTATTCCGAGAATGTTATAATTTTATCTTATTTGAGCTATACTGAATATTTCTGAATTCTTTAAAATTTGCTAAGTGTCCTGTATATTATGAAATCAGCTATAATGGGCTGTAAGAATTTGGGTGGCTAATATGGCTTATTCAATCGGCTAATCATCTGAATTTTATCACTAATTTGGACGAATAACCAGCACAAATTTATGCGATAATCAGTTATAAGCGCTATTAATCTGATCAGCCAATTGGCTTTGGCAGTTTACTGGCTGCAACTTTTTTTTGCCATACATAAAAGCCCCAATATGTGTAACATGTTATTTTTTTATAAATGGGTGTTGATTAATACTTCGATTGTACTATATGCTTTTACAAGAGTTTTTTTAAAAATTCTCTCATGAAAGTGTTACAATTTTTTTTTCGTAATATCACGATGCAAATTTTTTGCATTAGTTCATTCATTTTTCGTAATATTTCGCATTAGTTCATCCATTTTTCGCAATATTTTGCAAGTTTTTTTTCTTTTTTAGTATAGAATGGCAAAAATAACGTTATGACAGCTTGCCTTCTTTTTCTGAACCTCTGGTTCATGTATTTCCCCTTTTTCGTATTTTTAGTTCCTCATTTTCAAATTTCTGGTCCATATCTTTCCCCTTTTTCTCATATATTCTCCTTTCGTATTTCTTATACATGCCACCCAAATTATTTTGGACTGCCGTAATTATAAGTAAAATCCCAAATTCAATTATGGCATCCCAAATTATTTTGGCATTTTACATAGTAAATTATATATAAACCGAATGAATTATGGCATCCCAAATTATAATTATGGCATCCCAAAATAATTTGGGCAGCATGTATAGTATTTCTAGTTCCTCTTCAAATTTCTAGTAATATCTCTTTCTCCTTTTCGAGTTTAGTTCATATCTCCTCCCTCACATATTATCCCGATGGCTACAAAACGTGGCAAAAAATGAAATATTGATGATAATGAAAGAATCTCAAGACGTAATACTAAGAAGAGTAGTGAAGCTGAGAAACGAATAAGATTATCAGACGATAACGTCAAAGGTATATATGACATGATATGTATCATATTCTTTATAAGAAATTATATAATATATAGTTAAATTATATTTTATTGTTAAAGTTAATAAAAAAACAATAGAAAAACTATTAAGAACTAATTTGCAGATAATTTCTAAGCTTGAAGTTCTTATCACTGGACAAAAAAATCTCGAAACCTGTCTCTCGGGCATAGAAAAAAAGCTCAACAATAATAACAAAAATAATAATAATACAATAGATCTAGAGTATATAAAGGTAATAAAAATGAATATTATTTAATGTAAACCTGAAATGTTAACCTCGTTTAATTAGGAGCTCGTTAAGAAGGTGTCAAAAATTTTATTTGAAAATTTTGTTTATCCTTCACAAGACGAGTACAAACTCGCTACCGAAAAATATTTAAAAGATGAAAATCCAGAATTTATACGCCAGTTCAAAAAAAATCAATGGATTATTTTTTTCGAAAAAAAATTGCCCCGACTGTAAGTTAAAGCAATTATGAATTTTATTAAATTTCATACTAACATTTTTTTTTAATAGTTAGTACAATAACATAGAAGCATACGAGAGACATTCACGTTTAGAGTCAAAGACGTTATGTATTCTATTTTCAAAGTGACTGGACATAAATTACCATCTATTAACACTCAGGCTAGTCTGTCAATGATTCAGGAATGGAAGAGTAAGGCGGTGGTGAAAAGATGTTACAATAACCTATTTAAAAAGGTTAAAGATTAGAAACTTACGACATATATGTCACTGATAATTGATAAGTTGCGAAAAGAAAATAAAAATCCCTCAAAAACACAAATAGCGTATGCGATTAGCATATGTGAAACGTACTTAAATCCTAATAATCAAAACATTCAAATGAGTGAAAGTATAATGAAGTCAAAGATAATCAACAACTTAGTAAGTTTTTAATTTACAATTTGCAAAATGTGAATTATTTGAATTACAGTTTATTTATTTATTTATTGATTTTTAGCAAAAGTTGTAAAATAGGGATAAATTTACACATTCAGACGACGATTCTCATGATGGTAATGATGTAAATGATGGTGGTGATGAAGCAGTTGACAATAGAGCAGGTGCGGCTGATGATAGTGTGACTAACGATGGTAGGCCTAACGATGATGCGGCTAACGATGGTACGGCCAATGATGGTGCGGCCAACAATAGCATAGCTGACGATGATATACTTTCTATTGACTCTTATAACACAGAGGAGGAAGGTCGATATGTAAATAGTTTATTAGAAAATTATGGGTTGCATAGGAAATAAATATTATTTTTTATATATATCACACGTAGTAGCATTTTTTTTACCATAATAATATAGTTTTAATAAATAAAATGGTTATTAATTCTTAACAACACTGGTGTGACATAAATAAATTTTGGCTGAAATTTGTGTTCAATTTGTGTTCAATTTGTGTTGATAATTCTGGTAAAAATTTGTTAATTTTGGCCAAATTTCGTTAAATTTGTTAAATTTGTTTTTAATTTGTGTTGATAATTTTTAATTTATCATGAGGGGATGATATTTAGTAATTGTGCATATACAATTTCTGTACGATGTACATAATTTTTTAAAATGCAGATTTCTGTAATTTTACGATATCATATTTTCTGGCCAATCAAAATTAGGCTGATCCTTGCATGTGATTTAATCATTTAATCATGCACGCGTTTTTTGTCTTATTTATTTTTGTCTCTTATTTCTTTATTCTTTTGTTCAATATTTTTAATTTTTTTGTCTCTTCTTTCTATTATTTCTTTAATTATATACAATATATTTACATATATTTCATAATTTATTGCTTTGCAGGTATAGAAATATTTGTTTATTAATACTAATTATTTTCATTTTTTTTTACCTCTTTGTTACTTTGTATCATAAATTCATAATACTAACAATAATATCCATGTTTCCTTTATTCCTTTTTACTTGTACTTTAATACTAACAATACTAACAATACTAACAACATGTTTATTTTTTCCTTTCTCTTTATTTCTTTATTCTTTTGTTCAATTACTTTGCAGGTATAGAAATATTTATTTATTAATACTAATTATTTTAATATTAACGCATTTTTTTTTACCTCTTTATTACTTTATGTCGTAATACTAACAATACTATCTACGTTTTCTTTATTCCTTTTTACTTGTATTTTAATACTAACGATAATATCCATGTTTCTTTTACTCCTTTTACTGTTTCTTTAACTCTTTTTACCTTAATACTAACAATAATAACAATATTTCTTTTATCTTTATATCTAATACTAACGTTACTATAGCTGTTTCTCTTCTTTTTACGTCTAATAATATTGTTACTCTTTACTCTTTCTTTTTTTTTTACTTTTATGTATTCTGTATATATTAATAAATACTTGTAATTTTTTATGGTTTAATAAAATTATATCTAATAAAACATACATTATATAAACTTATAGTACAGAAAATGAAGTATTATTTATCGAAATATTTTGAAATATTACGAAATATTAAGTTGTGTAAAATCACAGAATATTACGAATCGTCAAACTATGAAGCATTACGCATCATAGAATTTCAAAATATTTTAAAAAGTTGCGAAGTATTACGCAGTAAAATTACAGAATATTACAAATCGTAAAATTACAAAGCCTTGCATATCGTAATATTTCGAAATATTTTAAAAAGTTACAAAATATTACGCTTACGCAAATTTGCAGCAGATCTGAAAACTTACAAAATATTACGTAAAATTACGGAATATTACAAATCGTAAAATTATGAAGCTTTGCATATCGTAATATTTTGAAATATTTTAAAAAGTTACAAAATATTACGCTTACACAAACTTGCAGCGGGTCTGAAAGCTTACGAAATATTATGATGTGTAAACTTACGCAACTTTTCGCACTATATAATTTTCTGATGTTATATATCCAATAATACTATGAATCTGCAGTGACTCTTATTTTTGTTTCAGCTTCAGTTACAAGTCTTATTATAAACATACTAGCTGACAAAGTTTGAGTATTTGGTGAGAAATAACGAAGTATCTATATAATCACATACAGTCAACTCTCTATAAATGCACCCCCCTTGGGACCAGCTATAAGTGTGCACTTATAAAGGGTGTGCATTTATAAAAAAAAAATTTTTTTTTAGATTTTACATTACAGAAACACTAAAAATTAGAAAAAATGCATTATATTATATGTTAACATTATTTATTATTCAATTTAATTATTTAGCATTTATTATAATTAATAATACAGTTATTAATTAAAATACCGATCAATTGTAGTCTGCTGCATCATATGTACCTGTTTTTTTCTAATAAATTTTTCAATTTTACCTATTAATTTGATATATTCTTCAGTATTTTCTTGTTGAAGTAAGAACATATTCACAGTTTCTAAGCTTTTTAATGCTATATTAGTGCTTATAGTTACTATCTCGTCATTATCATTTATTTTATCCAAATCTTCAGTATTTTCGTAAGAATTTTTAAAAATGTTTATAAGTTCCTTAATGATTTGTTCATCTTCAAAAATTTCATATGTAATATCTTCTTCAGGAATATTAAGTAATTCCTTTACTCGCATTACATTAGGAAGATTAAGGGCTTGAATTGTTCTAGAAAGTTCATCAATCATCTGATCATCGTCTTCATTATCAGTTTCATCATATTCGTTATCAGGAAGAATCCCGGTATGATTCCAGCAGTTTCGGATTGTTTCAACTGTAACTTCATTCCAACTTGGAATGATATACCGAATGGCTTGCAAAACA